TCGGACTTTCGATTTTAGATGAAAACAGTCACAAACGCAGCATACAGCCTCCTCCATACGTTTCGTTGAAAGGGCCTCGCAGCCTCGCTGATAAGTTCGCTCTTCGACAGTTGGGTAGTTTTCCAAATGGTTGTCAATTGAAGCGATAACTCTGTCTGATCGATGCCGCTCTGAACGTTGACGCTTCGACAACCGACTTAGTCGCTGGGACTCACTCATTTCTGCTCGATGGTCGCGCTTGCTTCGATCATTTCTCTCACGAACATGCGGCTTGCTGGAGCGTTTACAAACATAACATTTTTGTGGTTCGTGGATTGTCATGGAGCTGTTCAGCGTTTCTAGGAGGCATGTGCATTCTTCGGCTGATGTATCGGCTTGCATGGAAGACATTTCTCCAGAAAAAAAGTGTCAGTGTATATCGGCGATAAGCTTCTCAGTGAAAAGCAATTAGGCGATACAATAGTGTATTTACCGCTGAAAGTGGGTGTTACGCTTCGGCACACCAAGGTCAAACCAATGTACTTGGAAACATGTGCACGAATTTGTCTGGGTGTATTGTTCTGACAAACCTTTGTTCGATACCAGTAGCGTGGCTTCGGCTACGTCGTGGTTGATCAATCTGGTCTGCGCATGACATCGGTAAATTCTTTTTTCAGGAAAAAAAAAGTTTGCTGGCAAGCTAATTTGCGTACAAACAAGGAAGTATTGTAGAGGAAAACACTGGATTTTAACATTTGAGTGCAGATTGATCATGATAACCACGAGCGCCAACAAGCAATAGAAAATTGAGGTTCAGCCGTGACCGACCAACACTTCTGTATTTTTATTTGTGAAGCGTGCATAATTACTAGCGCTCACCAAAAACGAAAAGCCACAGATACGGATGTCACTCTGCTGCGGCAGCATTACTGCTGTCGTCGGTACATCTCTCTTTGCCACACAGGCATTTGAACCATAGCGACGATCTGTTGTAGTCCACAGTAAGCTCATCTCTAGCAGGGATTGCATACAACGTGAAAATCTCCACATGCGGTCCGTCGCAAGACTGGAACTCAGTAACTTCGCAGTTGGGTTCGCAAGAATGGTTTATGAATCTTGACTCATTGCCGCCTTTTCCAGCGTCGATGTACACACGTTCACCATGGATCGTTGGGGTTTTCAGGGTGATGATGCATCCACACTTTCGTTTGCATTTTTTTCTTCGAAGATGCGTTCACCGACGTATTCCAGGACGAACGTGCCTTTTACCAACGGGGAGGTTGCAGCCAGACCAAGACCCGTAATTGTTGGTATAATTAGGAAGGTGTGTGTGCAAATGAATCTATTGCCACAACCGAGACCGTTTTCGCAGTTCTCTTCATTGCACATGATCTTAGAGAGAAAATTGCCGCATGAGGAACCGAATTCGTCGAAGCACATCCGGTTATCGCATGAACAGGTATAGTCATCGGGTTCGGGAAATACAGGGGCAGGCTGGTTGCTGACGAAGAAGTTACTCCGAATCCTCACGACGCAGGTGGCCATAGGGGGGTCATTGTCAGGGCTCGTACAAATTGGAGAGTGAGCACCACAACCAAAGCAATTGAAGCGTCTAACACACTTAACACTTAGCATATAGAGAATGGTGATACAAACGCTACGTCTATTTGAGGAGGAATCCTGCAATGCTTATAAATCGAAAAATGCGGTGTATTATCGAAAGAAAAAGTTTCCTAGCCCCTAGTGGTTTTGGGTGGTAGATATGGGGGCTGTAAAACGACTAGAAATATCGACGGGATTCGTTTTTTATAGTTTTTATTAGCGAGATCGATCCTTATGGCTGTGCGTCGTCCAAATATTTGAAACCTAGTAGCGCCCGAGGTATTCCACCGTCGAGGCGGCAGGGTCGACAACTAGCGTTGAATGTCGTTGTTGTTGATTTGTGGCTGTTGTAGTAGCTACATCCAATACTTATATCCAGCTCTGACAACCACTATTAGTGGTTGTCAGACGTAATATCTAAGGCCATGTGTGGCAAGGATGGTCGGTACTGAAAGAGTAACTCTTCAACTCTTTCAGGAACTTTTTCAGTTCTGTTTCAGTACCCGTTTCTTTCTTAACTGTTTCAATACGTATAGCAGCTTTAGCGAAACAGTTCTTTTCATATTAAACACGACCTAAGCGTTTATACGTCAGACGCTTAGAGTTTTTTTTTCGAATGTATAATACTTCAGCAGTGATGATGACAAAACACCATCCAAAATTACTGCTCACTGCCAACAACACCTACAATACGTGGTGCGGGAAAAATCGAAAGTAGGATCTTGTGCCCACGAAAGACGGGTGGAAGACCAAGCATACGAACTATGTAATCCGGATACACATTAATACTGTTGTC